TGACGACATCGATGAAGGAAGTATGTACGTTGAGTCCAAGCTGCAGACGGTCGAAGTGGTTGTGCTGTTTATGGCCTGCCTCACCTACACCCTCGCGCGCTGCCCACGGATCGTCGTGTTTCCGATAGAGCAGATGCACCCAGCGATCCCCCTCCTCGTCCATTTTGTCTTTTTTCTCGAACAAGAACATGCCTGCCGTGAGGGCTGCTGAGTACGGCTGAACTGTGCCGTACGTGGGGCTTGGCTCCCACAACATGATGTTCACCCCGTACTCCGACGCCAGAAAAGAGAACCAGGTCACGTCAATCCATTTTGTTGTTGCACTTAGCTGGGCTTTCTCGCGAAACCAACCGACCGTCTTATCCTCCGGCGCCGTCATTTCTTCCACGGCAGCTCCTAAAACATCCGGTATACGCACACTCCGGGCCCGCCCAAGCTGGTCTGGTGAGAGTACAGCTGTCAAGTCCTCAACACCGGATGCGCCAAGAACATGTTCCGTGGCTCGACGGGCGACCACGCTCCTCATGTTCTCTGGGGTGGGGGCGGCCCTTGTTCTACCGAGGCAAACCTGCAGACCCGCGGACATCGCACTAAACCCGCAGTGGCCATCCGGCTTTACGGTATACACACCAGCGCGGTCGGGCAAGACCATAACCCCTCCCACCTCTTGTCAATTATGTGCTGCAAATGATGCGCGACGCAGATCCATCGATGTGCTGCTGTACCCGTTGGCCCAACGCAGCCGGCTGGGGAGCTAGCTCCTGTTCCTTGCGAACGTGATACACAGGGAACCCCGTCCATAGCGCTCGTGCGAAAAATCGCAACAAGCAGGAGGAAAAACAGCATCATTATCGCGTTTCTGCGTGCTGGACTGAGGTCCACAGCAGCACAGCAGCAGCGCGGGATGCAGGGTGCTGCGGAGCATTGCAACTCCCAGGCTTTCAATTTTCTGTATAGGGGACGTGCTGTTTCTGTCCCCGGTCGTTACTTTGTTTCTTTTCGAGCGGTCTAGTCGTACCGTCGAGCCGTCGTCGACGCAGGTATCCACAGCTCAATTCGGTTCGAAAGTTGTCGCATATAAGAGTTATCGTGCCTGCTAACATGCCCGATTCGGGGGTGTAGTCACGTAAGGGTTAACTTGGATCTTTTCTCATCCTCTGTGCATGATGATCTGTCGAGGCACAGCGCCCGCCATTGTCCTGTGCTCTGCTCGCGACGGCTACTACTTACTCCCATGCAGTGCGGGCTGCGGGCTCTCTGCATGCTACCCGAATACTGGTGGTCACGCTGTTGGATAGAGAGAAAGTCACACCGTACATGCATGTATGTGTGTGTGTATGATATATGCCATGTGGTATGTCATAGAAGTGGCTCGTCAAAATCAAACAAACTATGTGTCAGGGTGCCTAAACGGCTCACAGCAGTCCATCCAGGGTACTGGCTTTCTTTGCGCATCTAGTGCAAAAACTCGCGAGTTAATCGAGGGCGAGATGGTCGAGTAAGGTTGAGTCAAACACGTGACGGATCGCAGAACTCTTCCTAAAAACCCGGGGTTTCCTCCTTTTCCTTTTTCTTTTTTTTTTCATGCACCACCAGTAAAAAATCGCCCCCGTTCTCCAAGCCTACATGACATATAACCCTGTAGGCTCTCTTCACAGCAAGAGGTCTGGTAAGTACAGAGAGGGATAAATAAATACCGTGTTGATTTGTTTCGATGCTTCCGTGCGTTCGGGATCCAATCGTCCTTGTGCCTCCTCTCCTGTGGACTGGGATGTATAATGGCGACGCAAGAGTGGCAAACAATATTTTTCGTCCTGTACGAAAAATTCTGTACATAAACATACGATACCCGTTGCTCATGCATATATACAATGGGCACGTTCTACATTACCTGGTACATCTTATCCACACCAACGATCGATACTGCACACAACGCAGGTCTACCAATCACATCCTCACGCACAACTCCGTCTCTAAGTCCCCTCGATGAAAGTAGCACACGACAGTCAGTCGTCCGCTCTCTTGCAATCTTTTTGGTGTCTCGCCAAGTCTCGCTCCAACAAACTTCGGAGGGAGTCGGCATTACCCACAATAATTAAAGAACGCTGAAGAACACGTGATTTTGACGCTGGCTCTGTTTTCATAAGTCAATCCAATAAAAAAAACAAAGCAGCCTTCCCGACGGAAATATCTGTCACATTCTACTGTCATCAGTAGAGGATACCATAATGAGGCGTTGTGCGTGCTGGCACGTCAAAGTTCGCTACTGAAATATCGATGGTCGCAGCAGCCTTTGAAAACAGCTCGAAATCTGCGCCAGAACCAAGCGGAATCCAACATTTGTCACAGCCGTGCTCACCGCTCACCGCCACGGACCGTGTTTGTGGTACTTGGATATGAGTCCGATCTGTGCATCCTGTGTGGGGGATACGCGTATGGGAAGTATGGGTGTGAGGGTATGTATGCTGTTGTGGTCCAAGTGGGAGGCCCCCGGGAGCACACGGCGGTGTGCTCCTGCCTGAGGGGCTTGCGTGTTGAATACCAGCTTGCCTGAGGGGCTTGCGTGACGGATATATACAATACATGGTCCTTTTTCATCTGCTGTTCCTGGGATAACATAGTCCCCAGTCTCAACACCACAGACCGCTGCGTCCGTCTGAGTGCCCATCGCCAACGCGGCGACCGGGGGCGCCGCAGCTGCTGCTGCCGCTGCCGTTCCCCCCGTCACCGATGCCGCCACCGCCGATGCTGCTGTCGGGGACGGCGCTCTGGCCGAAACCATCCGCGCCGCCGCCGCTCCTTCCGATGCCAGCGCGGCGACCGGGGACGCCGCTGCCGCTCCCGCTGCTGCCGTTCCCCCCCCCGCCGCCGCCGCCGCCGCCATCGCCGCTGCGTCCGTCTGAGTGCCCAGCGCCAACGCGGCGACCGGGGACGACGCTGCTGTTGCCGCCGCTGCCGTTCCCCCCGTCATCGATACCGCCGCCCCCGCCACTACTGCAGGTCAGGCCGCCGTTGCCGATCTTGACTTGAATTTAAAATGGCGTATTTTTTTATTTCAAAAGAGGCGTGTGGAGGTAGACGCGTGAAACGTAAGTATTGAGCAGCCTCTACTGTCGCCGTGTGCGAGAATCAAATATTTCTGTTTTCGCCATGCCTTCTGATTGGTCTTGTGTCTGTTGTGCATTTTTCTGGTGCTCTTGCGTTTGTTTTGAAGTCGGACGCCAACCACCCCACGCGGCCCCGGTCCGGAAAAGTGCAAAAACGTGACGTGGCCTCAGACCCGCGAACCCCCACGAACGTCCCAGGCAGGCAGATAGAATCATTGCAACAGACAGCGAACAACCACCGCAACCTGCTGGATGAACCATTACAACACACAAAGAAACCCCCTTGACAGCATATCTCTTACACAATCAACGACTCAATGCCTCTCGCGTGATGGGCTTGAAAGAGACTCCGTGGTAGACAGAAACTTGCACCGAGGAACCATGAGGTGGACCTGTCGGGTTAGAATGAATACCGCCTAATCACAGTGGAAGAAGCACACAGATCATTCTGAGGTTGAACAACGGGGCCGGCGAAGCTGCATACCCCAGAAGTTGACTACTCAATGGCTGGTCGAAAAAAATGATGATACTACAGGGCAAATGGGTTTGAAGAAAAAGTCACATCCACCGCTGTCCATAACCGTACATGTCATGCGACGTAACGGACGTCAACACTCCGGTTCGGTTCAAATAGCCCATCAAGAGCAGCAAACCGGACTCGCCGAAAAACACACAACAAAGACCAAACACAACGTACCGCGTTGTAGTCCAGATATATGCCGGGGTCGCAGTCGAAGACGTTACGGCTGAAAGTGATGTTCGCCACACTCAACAAAGAACCGATGTTGGACACCGCCGCGCCCCCTTGATTGTCCGAAATGTTGCCAACAAACGAGCAGTTAGCCAGAGAGGCCGTGCCTGCCAGTCTCAAGCCCCCCCCCGTCCCCGCGCGGTTGCCCTGAAATGTGCTGTTGACGAAGGCGTCTTGTCCAGCCGCGCTGTCAATAGCTCCACCCGTTGCTGTTGCTCGGTTGTCGATGAAGTGGCAATGGTCGATGTTGCCGGGTTTGGGGGGTGAAAATGTCTGCATTTTCCTTCAAGTGCCCAGACCCTACGGCGGAGACAGCACCCCCGACCTGAGCGAAGTTGAAGATGAACCTAGCGCCAGTGAACACCGGGCCGAACCCTGTGCCCGACACAAATACGGCCCCTCCCGCAACTTCGGCCGCGTTTCCAATGAAGCTGACGTTTTCTGTGCCGATGTTTACAGCCAGTCTTCCAATTAGAGTCAACGCGCCCCCGTTGGCTCCGAACGTATTGTTGACAAAGGCAGTGGTCCCATTCATCACGAGGGTTGAGCCCTGGTTACTGACGGAGTCCGTCGCAAATGGTCCAATCACCCCCCCGTCGAGGCTTGCTTCGTATAATTTCGGTATCTCCAGTCCACTCCACATGGGACGAGCTCCATATGAAAATTGAGCCTCCGGACAGTAGCGCAAAATTTCCGTCAAACTCGATGGCCGCACTCCAAGACGTTTGGGGATGAAACCATGTACAAGGCGCCTCCAAGATCCGCGGTGTTGCCTACAGATTCTCTTGAACCGCGAACATGCTTTAAATCGTAGCATTTTGAAGGCCATGGAAGATGGACGCTTTCATTTCAACCAGCTACAAGATTCTGTGGACGGCATATCTCTCATGTTACATCACGTCGTCACCTTGTGCGAGGTCCACACATGCTACCCACCGCAAGTACCGGGTACACCCCCGAGTGTAAATTAATCATGGTGTCGTGTGGTACAAATTTTCGCTGTACCAAATTCACGGGTGATTGTTGAATTTGATGGGCCTGGCGTGTGATCGGGGACTGCTGTGCAGTGGCTGCCTGCTGGGCTTGGTGTCTAAAAGCTGTGTATGTGACGGCTAAAGCGGCTTTTTTTGAGAGGTTCGATTAAAGAGAAATATCAGAAATATGACGAATTCTCTCTTATATCGATATTCGTCGTGACAAGTCAGTTTGACTCTCTTAAATCGGCACGTTCTCTAAAACGTTTTCTCTTAAACCGTGGCCGCTACTCCAATATTCAAACAGAAAGCAACCCTTCCAGCAGTTGAGATCTTCTTATTGCGCTTAAAAACGTTGAAAAACAAGCTCGACGTGACAAGCGGTCTCCGGATCGTTTTGCTGGCCGTTTTTCCCATGGTAGCAAGGGTGCCATGTCGAACGAATTTCCCAGGAAAATCTCGGTTACACAAAATTCAAAGCCACAATGATTCGTTTGGGGAACGATTTCCCTCTACAAAGCGGGCCCGCGAACGGCTGGCTGTAGTCCGCTAAAGTGCTAAGATACGGTAGTTCTTACGTCCCTGCTTCGACAGACGCCTTCCGCATGTGGCCTCAAGCAATGACCACACCACCAGTATAACGGCTTCGGCTATTCAAACCACCGTCCTGGCACCCACAACGTCTGGCCACGCAAACGGCACAGGGTCCAACACCCTCTCCCACTGCGACCCGTGGGCTAACAAAACTTAATGTATCGGACAGAAGGCACACAGCCTCAGCGTGCCTCGAAGTGTGGGCAGTCGCTCGTCCGGTCTCCCCCGGAGATAGTTCACCGCGGCTACGCCTGCCGAGGCTACCTTTATCAGCTGCAGGATAGCCAAAGGGATTCCAAGCACCATGACACCCCCACCTCCGCCACCGTCCTCTCCCTCCTCTCCAAGCAACAGCCGATTTGCGCCGCACACGAGCAAGAAGAGCGACATGATCTTGGTGTGGGCGTACATGACCGTGAGGACGAAGCACGACTGGTTCGCATCCATGTACGCCGAGCCCGCCATCGACTCTATCACCGCGACCACGGCCAAGACAGAGGGCACTACCCTAATCCAAACCGGTTCGTCGAAGAGAGATGTCCACGTTGGGAAGAACGAGAGGAGGATCACCACCGGCACCACCGCGATGAGCATCCCGTACAACGCCATCGCAGCGAAATCCCGCCTGGTCAGAGAGCGAGAGAAGAAGGACACCACGACAGGCAATGGCCGCCGCCAGGAAGAGGTACACCGCCGGTAGATGAGGGCGGTGCGAGATAGTGATCGTAAAAGTTGATCGTAAAAGCATCACTCACCTCTGGCGTATTTTCGGTCGGGTTTGATTTCTTGCTGGCGGCCTTGCGTACATCGTTCTTGGTGCTGGGGTGTATCTGCTCATCCTTAAGTCGCACCAAATTGAAGAACGTTTGAAATGTGCGTGTGCATGCTTGTTTCAGTTTTTCCTCCCATATATTAGTGTAGCTTCTATTTTCACTACCATACGACCTTGCCTCTTCCGCCGAAGAGCCAAGATCTGGGGTAACACAGGAGAAATTCTCTGCGGCGCTTGGCTATATTTGTCAAAGCAACAACGGATCAGCCATCCTCCCCTCAGGGTTCCTCACAATACAAGCTTTTCCGCTGCTACGCAGGAAATTGGGAGTGAACACATCGTCAGCCCTAAATGCGACTTGGAAATCGTCTCGCACAATGTACGTAGTCTATACAACGCACCTTTTTCGGGACCGTGGGGGGTCGCGGGGGTAAACCATGTTGTGGAGCTGGTCCCTTGTGATCGTCTTGATGTTTTCGGGATGATCAATGGAGGTGCTGTTGTTGCAGACGAGGCAGAGAGCCAACATCCCCGGCATTCGGCCCAAGAACTCGAACGCCGCCAACGCGTCGAAAATCACCTGCGACCGGTCAAGTGTGCAGGACGTGTAGAATGTGGCTTAGACCGCAGAAGTGTAGGTCAACACTAAGGAAAACCCGACCGAAACATATGATGAGCAGCCGATGGAAAATTTTCGCCAGAAGGGCCATGGTATACGTGGTCGGGGAATGTCTGCCCGACGCAATCGGAACGGCATAGGTGATCTGGGTCTATGGGCGTGGTGGGCTGTGGGACATGGGTAGGTGACCGGGATGTGATTGCCCGACGTTCTCTGAAGGACACAGGAGATCGATGAATATTTGCTCCGGAGTTGTCGTTTTCAAGGGATATTCGATGGATGTGTTGGCATGAAGTTGAGATTTGCACCTTTTACATCGGATTTCCTGTACAAGTATGTGCACTGATACTGCAAGATGCGAGGTCTACTGTATTTCGGAATAACACCTGGAGAGATTGTATTGGACATGCCTAACTCTGGTTCTGGCTCTAGACTAGTCTTACTGTTTAACCTGAAAGCAAATGACATGCACTACTCTTCATCAACATGCTGTGAATCCGATCAATCCATATTCCTATACCACTTGCTGTCCACAAAGCCTACATACAAGACCAGACAAAAAGTCATCGTTCGTGCTGCGAGAAAAATTGTAAACGAATACGCACCATGTGATACCATGACTTACGAAGGTGAAAGGACACGACAAACACAAACAAATCCAAGTGGGAATGTCCTTCCACGCCACACAACCTGTACATCGTGATTGAATCCTTATCATTCGCTGACGATTCCCAGGTACCCTATATACATCACGCGTGAACTGCGCGGTGTGGGTGGGACAACATACAATACGCGCGAGGTGATCTGAAGGACAACATGTGGGTCGCTGGTGTATGTTTGCACGAGGTTAGCTGCGGGGGATAGGTGATTGGGGTTTGGTTGCCTGAGTTGATCTGAGAGATCGGTGATCAGAGGTATGTTTGCTCAGGTGATCTGGAAGACACACGTGATCTCTGTGTGTGCTCCGAGGCGATGTGAAGGACGTACCTGATCTGAGTACGTTTACTCCGTGGTTATCTGAAGGACGTAGGCGATCTGAGTATGTTTGCTCCATGGTTGTGTGAAGGACGCACAGAAGTGATCGGAGTAGTTTGCTCCATCCTGATCTGCCAGCATAGGTGAGCTAGCAAATGATCTGTGTGAAAATATCACAACAGCCTTAACGAATGGCGACTTGAGCACTGGGGTTAGGGCGAACTCTACCGACCTGTGTAGATAAGTCACAAAGCTTGGGGAGGGTGGGTGAGCGCTTGTCACTGCACGCTGACCGTAACGCACTAGGCGCCGCATGCGAACAAGGCTCGGGCCGGACACAAATTCCACACAAAGACCAAGATCGGCGCCTTGACTAGCTCTAAACAAATGATCAAGTTATGCGAGACTACTTGCGCGGATGATCTCTGTCGCTGGAAGTTCTAGCTAGTACGCAGAGTCAAGCAGCAACACACGAGACAACATCAGGAACAATATTTCATGGCTAAGCTCCGTACTGCTGTGCAGCCACACGACGAGCTGAGACGTGACTGATCACCATGAGGGAACCTTCGGGAACCACTACACCCCAACACCCCAACACTGTTCTGGTTGTTGCACACCGTGTCCTCCAAACCTCCCAACACTAATTGACCATGTATGGTAATCTATTTAACGTTCATGGCTGTATGTAATGAGCTGCGGAGCGCGACCTTTTCTCTTCATCCCCAGGAGGGAAAAAGAGGCTCGATATATCCGCCTATTCTTCCGCGTGTAGCAGCGGCCCCAAACTTGGCTTCCGGGAAGCCGAAACGACCCACCTTTGGGACCAGAACGACATCTACAGGGCACCGATTGACGATCTAGTTCGCTTCTGAGGAAGGAGATGACCGTGCTACACAAGCGTTTGTGCCCTAAATTCGTAGGAAACCGCTGTCCCCAACCCCGGGGTTTCTCCGCGAAAAGGGGAATACAAAAACGGAGATCGCGCGCGCGCGCGAATGAAACCAGAAGAAGGAAAAGAGACAGAGACGCAACAACACCACCAATCATCTCCGCTGGGATACTGATCCGCGACTATCTGAAAACCAGGAGGGGCGGAGCCTATACGACCTGCGCGCCGTGGGTATAGTCATGCGCCATGTGTAACCTGGCGGGGGTGTTTATTGATGTTGAGTGGGTCCAACCGACTGCTCAACAACAGCAGACCGATGATTATAAACACACAACATAAAACACACATTCCCCCAAGTCCAGATCACGTCTACCATCGAGAGAAACCGCCGAGGGCGTGAGGGTCTACTGCTGTGCGATATCAGGATGGTTTCCCGGGATCTGTTTAGGTTGCGTACTTGCGCCGCGCTACTGACTGTCTTCGAAAGCCGTGCGCTGCCTGCTGTTGCTGCAGCTAGGTCTCTCTCATGAAAGTCATGGCCATCAACGGCTTTGGTGCATGTGTGTGTTGTGGACTGCTTGCTTTCACTTGGCGGGAAATTCGGAAGGCTTAAGACAAATGTGATGGCGGGTTGTGACGCAATAATATTTTTCCGTCTGTCTGTCACAATTCTATGTCTACGCTGCTGCTCGTGCTCCTCGGTAATGTCAATATGTTTGATACGCTCGCCGCCAGGTATACGCCGCATGCGTGCCTCTTCCAGATGTGCGTCATTGCGTCCGCACAGCGGGAAGACGTCATTCTTGTTTGTTTGTGGGTGTATGCATACCGTATATGACACAAGATAACACACCCCCTGGACCGATTTTCAAAGCTCGATTACTCCACGACGAAGAGGATGCATAAATGAAACAATACGTTTTCGAACAGCTCTCGACGAGACGGTTCCAACGCCGCCGTTTTCGGCGCTGTGACTCTTCCTGCTGTTGAGAAATCGCGCTTTGAAAATCGGCCAAGGGGGTGTGTTATCTTGTGTCATATACGGTATGCATCAACGGAAAATAAAACTACCACACAGTAGACTAAAGTGCATCCTTTTGAACGGACCGCACATACAACCTCGTCGCGCCCGTCCCACCCATGTCCCTCTGGTGCACGTAGCTGCACCACAAACAATTCACGCTGCTGTGTGTCGGCATTCGTGCACCATAAGCGTCGCAGATAAGACTTTAGCAAGGTATTGAGTCGCTACCCCGCGGCTCATTACCCCGCCCTACCTGTGTTGTCCATGGTTATCACATCAACTTACCCCTTCGAAGTGTTCGAATCCGCTGTTTCCGAAAACGTACACGATGAAGACCCACACTTCCAAGAGACCGAGAGTCCCCAGCGCCTGAGCAAGCATGCCCCCATCTGGACGGACCGTAGAGTGGGAGAACATCATGACGAACGGAACGAGAGAGATACCTAGTCCACCATGTTTTATCACCCACGCAGGAGGTAACGACAACCGCGATAACATGTTGTAGGCAATCTCCGACGCCGAATAGTGTACTGTAGGTTGCGTAGGATACCGCGCTTCCTGGACAGACTCCCAAAGCCTGATTACTCGACGACGAAGAGGATGCCGAACAATCAAATGGTGCGTTTTCGGAAAGCTCTGGAAAAATTGGCGGTTCCAACGCCGTCACTTTCGGCGCCGTTGCTGCTTTCCTACTTTTCCTGCCAAGTGTAGTCTCGGTCCAAGCGGGTGTGATATCTTCTGCAACCTACGGTATGTCTGTCATTGCTGCGAGAGATTATGATTACACAACCAGCAGTTTTTGCTCTCGGTGCAAATGTGCGTTGCCGGTGTATTTTTCTCGTCCCCTAAAACAACATCGGCGGGGTATTGATGAGGCATCTTCAATGGACCCCAATTGTCTCGAACAAGGGCGCTTCCGGCTTGGTGGGTTGGAACCAACAACCGTGAGAGTTGATACGATACGCGGAGGGGGCACCTGTCTGTGTGGGGCGCAGACTGCCTACCTTGCGTATGAACAACCACAACCCTCTCACAGCATAGACCATACCTTTACTTCCAGTCCCATTGCTGTCGGTGACCACAGGAGGAGGACCTGAACCTTGAACGCCTGCTGGGGCGGCCGGGAATTGCCCCCCATCGCCGCCGATCTGAGCCATCTTGAATCTTGAGGCTATGTATGTACGTACCGCTTTACTGCTGAGGGCCACCCCCTCTGTCCAGCAAGGCTGCTCGATCGATTGATTACCCACCTCACCGGAGAGAGAGAGAGAAGAGAAGAGAGACACGCCCACAGGGACACTTCGATGTGACACCTCTACCGCATCACACCACTCAAGAGCTCGACGCGGGCAAACTTATCAAAATTCCGCCGCTTCCATCACTGAACTGCTGTGCGAGCGGAATAGTATGGATGTGAAGAGAACAACAACAACAACGCAAGGAGCGGGGTAGCCGCGCCTGAATCACGGGGTAATCACAGCAGTAATTTCCAATACAATTATAATATTGCGATTTCGGAATAGATTCGTGGGCGGTTTTTCTTCCCAGACTCTTTCGCAAGATCGCGTCCAACCTGTGGATATAAGTATGTCATGGGTCTGGGGATCGTGGAAACACTGCACGGACGGGGTGCAAGGACATACATGGAGAGTAGAGAGAGGGTCTCCACTCTGCTCTGTCAGAATCGTGGCCAGAGTAAAAGTCGGGCAGCCTGAACAGACTGGAGCAAGCCACAGACCGGAGAGCTCACTCGTCTCACGGAGAGAAGACAGGCCACAAGAAAAAATCCGGAAACGACAAGATGTGGACCCTGCAGGCATGTTCGCATGTTCAGCAGTGTTGCCCCCCGAACGGATTGCACTGTTGTAGCTACTGGTGTACCGCCCAGGAGAAACGGCTGTGGCCCGACTTCGGCTGGTGGTGCAGCACTCACATATTTGACGGGCCGAGTTCGGGCGCGTGACTAGAGCGTTTGGTCTTTCCGTCGCCACCGTGAGAGAGAAACAGAGCAAGGACAAAGACAACCCCCTTGTTACCATTTGGTCCCACAGCAGGTACGTCGCGCACGTACATGTAGACTGTATGATGCTGGATGCCACCTGCGTTGTAGTCGAGCGGACAACATCAGTGGCGCTTCACACCGTTTCGTATCCACTACTTGCTCTTCTTGCCTTCCTTGCGATCTCATACCCAAAGACGACGTCTGTGGTATGTCGGTTTCCATCAAGTCCCGTTCAAGATTGTTTGTGGTGCAAGGAATGCCATCGCCCGCTTGCAACCCACGACTCATGTACTACGTATTTACACTGCAGTAGATTGCAGAGGTATCTCTGCAACAATGATGAAGCATCCCTGCACCACCCACGTGGGTCTTAATCACCGACCCCCTCGTATGCAAGCACGTCTGGTGCGGCAGACGAATGTTTTACTGGCTCACGGGTAAGACAGGTGTCGGTAAATGAAAGAAACGGAGAACATGACATTCTTCAGTAGTATAGTCTACAGTACCACTGTTCGTTCATGATGATTTTCGGACATTGCTCACATTGACGTGGTCTATAGAAGCCGAAATCAAACCATTAGACTAGTCAGCGCTGACTACTCTCTCTAATGCTTTGATTTCGGATCTATAGGTCCAAACATTATTTACAGGTTCCGTTGTGGGAATACGCAAGGTGGATGGATAGTATGGATGGGGGGAACACATGTTTTGTCTTTGGTGGGAACACAACACGGAAAAAGGGTGGTTCATAGTTGCAGTTGTTTTGTGGGAATACCCAAAGAAAGGTTCCTAAACGTTCACATGCTTCGGTCGAGTGTGTGCAGAAATGCCGCACCCTTTGTGAAGTTGCCTTCCATACAAGCTGGTTCATGGAAATCAACCCAAATTGGTTCAACCACAACTAACTGCTATTAACAGACAAATTTGTGTACAACATACATATATATATATATGGTATCTTAATGACCCCCATGAGCAAGGGAACAAATCATCGCGGCCGAAATCTCGATCAGAGCCATGACCATAAAGCTACAAGCTTGAGTGCTTAGGCCAATCAGGAGCCTTCAACATGATTCAAAATAAAGAAGACTCTTTTCTTTGATAGAGATGGATTCGTTGTGTCATACTTGTATTCAGAAAAATAAAAAAGAAGGCATGCGGCACCCTACTACGAACCCCTCTACCGAAGTTTTGACACGAGCTAATCTATTACTCCTTTGAGTACATATGTTCTAGGGCACCTAACTAAAAAAAAGAAGAGAAAACGACTAGTGTGGACACAAGTTTGCCCAAAATATTAGTGTTTCGACGGCCGAGATTTGGCGTCGTCAAACTTCCACTAGATTGTACGGGATAAAGTACAGAGAGACCTTCGTATTGGTTTTGCCTTGTATATATCCAACGAAATATTTGTTTGTCCTCAAATTTGACGGTGGGGTTCAACAATGTGCCCCAACCCGGAAAACAAACTGAGGGAATGTGTGGACTCCTGACCGGTTTTGAAGGTCCTCGGAGTTGGCCCCCGAAAGGTTGGTTCCACGTATCTGAACGTCAACATATTTTTTTTTCCGCTCCGGGATAGTTTAATGGAGCTTTCCAGAACGTTTTGTTGGATAGCTTGAATAGCTGGCGCCACACGGGGCTTGATAGTGTAAAAGGGACCCCGCGGATACGATTCTTTACTAAGATCAAGTAGTTCGGGGAAAATCGGGACGGGAATACTTCATGGCACAAAAGCTGAAAACCTCACGCCGTTTCAGGAGTTAGGCTTCGAAACTTTGCACACATGTACAGTGGGTACATGCGAAATGCTGTGTGGAGCCGTCTTTTCTATTTACTTCCATGGTCGCCGGTTATTCGGAACCCCAGGAGACACATATGACCCCGAAACCCCTAGTACCCGGGGTATCCGGCGACAGGAAAAAAAAAAAGATGGCTGCACAAAGCGTTTCGTATCTGCCCGTGCAAAGTTTCAAAAGTCTAACTCCTAAAAACGGCGTGAGGTTTTCATGTTAAATGTTTTCGTATCCATTTCCGTGAACCAGCTTGTAAACCACCGGTGAAGCATCAGAACTTTGAGAAAGCATAGGATCTTATCCTTTTTCTCTGCGTTTTGCATTCATCTTCCTTTTACAATCCCCACGCAGGGCATTCTTTCTTCCTACGCATACACTCTTTGCAAAATTTCGTGTGGCCGCCGCCGGGGACATTCACAGGATAGACCCTGGTCAGAGGCATTGATAGATAGCCACATGCACGACCCACCCCCAAGAGTCCGCACCACAGATCGATTCCCGCCGGGAGGGGGACGCGCAGTGCGTTTAGCATGTGTTACTCTGAACCCCGTCAACAGAATCCTCGGATTTCCATTTATTGTCCACGATATGGTTTCAAAAGAGCGGTAGCCAGGTCAACGTTTAGCACCAGTCGCCGGTGGTTTTGGTTTCGTTGCATACCCTGCTGGCCGTTCTGCACAATCACGTGTGCGTGCTTGTTTCCTCGACACCTGCCCGCTCGCATTTCACCGCCCACCAGTTGAAAGGCGCTTGAGCAAGGACAGCGCGGGGACTGAGTTCCCATGCAAGGGAGATCATGATTCGACGAATCAGCGGCGCCAGTTCCTTTGCAGCCTTTCTCTGTTTCACTCTTCACGTTGCTGCTCAGTACGACAGCTGCGTCAACGGCACGATCGACGACATCGGAAATGGCCGCTGCGACACCGAGAACAACAACCCATCCTGCGGCTTCGACGGCGGAGACTGTTGTTCTTGTACCTGCACCGATACATCTCTCTACTCGTGCACCTACAACGAATTCGACTGCATTTTTCCGGACTGCGGTGATGTTGCCGCGACTTCGGGGGAGGAACGCTGCTTGGATGATTACTGGGGCGACGCCTACTGTGACCCCATAAACAACCACCGTTCGTGCGGCTACGATGGCGGAGACGTGCGTGGTTTTCCAGTTGTTATTCTCGACTTAGTACATATGGGGTCGGTGCATCCCGCGGGCGCGTGCCGATACTTGGAACATTCATTGCACTGTCTGGGATGTCCTGATGTTCCCCCAAACCTATGGAGTCAAGCATCAAGCATGGTCTCAATCACCAGTTGCCAACAGTGCTTGAAGCAGCTCTGATGGAAACAAACGATTTTCCCATTCCAGTGTAGGGCGAATCACCTGCTACCTCCCCTCCTTGGCACAACGCAAGGCTATTTCAACCCACGAATCATCCCCTGTTGCCCGGCCTCTTTCTCGCCTCCCCTCCTCTGCGAAAACCGCTCGTGCATGTGCTCTAGTGCTGCCCGTGTTCGTGTTTACCAGCTCCTGAATACGAATGCGGGCTCGGCGGCTTTGCCTGCGAGGACCCAGCCTGCTTTGAACCCAACGTTGTTGCTGATTTCCCCGCCTGCACGGGGAATTGGTTGACTATCGGAGACGGGTTTTGCGACACGGAAAACAACACCCCTTCCGTAAGAATTACAAAGCTTCTGTGGGTTCGCTGGATGTTTGGATCCTCGTTGTTTCATTCCCGTACGTCGGCAGCATAGACGAACAAGCGCTTGGGAAAGTCATAGTCCTGCCGTCGTTTACGCGCGATTCGCGAAGCACCGCCATCTGCTGCCTTGCCTTGCTCAGCGGACGTTCAGCGAGCGTGGGTGGTGGGAGACTCGACGCAAGCACAGGACCTCGCAGCAGCGGTCAACTGTTCCGGAGGGTCTTTCGAGGTGGATTGGAGAGGAACCGTAGCAGTTGGTGAACCGTTTTACATCGTCGACGGGACCGAGCTTACCATATCGGGGGAAGACTCGACTGCCGTTATTGACGGAAACGGGTCGACCCGGCTGTTCACCGTCGTCAACGCTTCCCTGCACTTGAATCATGTGAACATCAGCTCGGGCGCGAGCGGGGTTGGAGCGGCTGTCGCTGCAGCGGGGTCGAGCCTGGCATTCAATGGCACCAATTTTGTGGGAAACAGCGCTTCTGGCAACGGGGGCGCCATTTACGTCTCAGAGAGCTCACACGTGTCCTGTGTGGGGGGCGGAGTCTTTGCCGACAACAGGGCATCTATGGACGGCGGGGCCTTGTTCGCGACCGGCACTTCGGTGGTCTCGTGTGGGGGCTCATGGCTAAACAATTCCGCTGGGGGCAGCGGCGGCGCCGTGAGAATTCACCAGGTCTCGGCCATGTCATGGACGGACAAAGCGGTTTTCGCCTACAACATGGCCTCGAAGAACGGCGGTGCCGTGAGTCTCTACAACCAGTCGAGCGTGTCCTGGAGTGGAACAACAACATTTCGCGGAAACTCTGCGGTTTACAGCGGAGGAGCCATCATCGCGGCGAAATCGAACATTTCCTGGGACGCCGCTACGCTCTTCGAATCAAACACTGCCGATGCGTCCGGTGCAATTGGTGCGTTTTCTGGCTCCAGCGTGAGCTGGAGCGGAGGTGATACAACGCGTTTCATCGGCCAAAGAGCATCCTCTGCGGGAGGTGCCCTGCATGTGTCCGACTCGCAAGTGGCGTGGAGTGCGACCACCGAGTTTGAAGACAACGCTGCACTCTCCGGGGGAGCGATGTTCTTGTGGAACGGGTCTCATGTGGAGTGGAGTGGAGACACCGAGTTCTCGTCGAACGAAGCAAGCGCCGACGGCGGTGTGGTGGGGTCTTTTGTGTTGGACTCCCTATACAACCCTCAAGGCTCGTACCTCATCGTTGGCGGGACAACAATCTTCTCGAACAACACGTCTGGAGCCAACGGGGGCGCGTTAGCCCTGCTTGGAGGCCTGTCCGTAACTATCGGCACAGAGAACACGGTCTTTGTTGGGAACACTGCCGCTGTCGCTGGTGGAGCCATCTTCGTGTCTGGCACCGCTGTTGGTCCGACGTTCGTCAACATCAGCTTAGTCTCCAACTCGGCTCAGGTTGGCGGCGCAATATCGCTTATCGGTTCTGGAACTTCGTTCAACCCCGAAGACTACACGCCGGCCCCTACGACATTTGAGCAGTGCCGGTTCACAAGCAATAGGGCGATAGCGACGGGTGGAGCTGTGGACACCGCGGCTGGACAGGATAAGTTTGTCAACAGCGTTTTCGAGGGCAACACGGCGGGGACGGGCGGGGCCCTGAGACTGGCGGGCACGGCCGAGGTGAACAACTGCTCTTTTGTGGAGAACGTTTCAGACGACGGCGGGGGCGCCGCCGTGTCCAACATCGGCTTCGTTTCAAGCGTCTCGAACCTGTCTTTCAGCCGCAACGTCTACGGCTGCCAAGAGGGCATGTTCCTGGAGTGCGAGGAGGTGAGCAGAGACGTGGTCCTATGCGTTGGACTACCTAGACCGGTGTTCCCCACCCGAGCAGTTCATCTAGGAGACATGCCAATCCGGCGGTAGTGATATTGTTCCATTTTACTCCATATTTTTTTATCGTGGGTCACCTGAACTTAGATTAAGGGTTTCTGCCGCGCTCACATGCACATTGAGAGGCTCTACGAGTGTCAACGGAAAAGAGAGGCATCTGCGCACAGCTTGAGGTTGTGCCAACGTGCTCGAGATATCGTCCGGCCAGCTACAAGCTCCATCAGGAGCTTGGGCCTGCACCTTTGCCATTCGTTCTTGTGCACGGAGCGTCTCCCAGTGTTTGTATCGGCCGCGAAATATCTTTCCGTCGGTTTCGCTCTGCCACTTTGCTGTACCTGTCATAATTGCCGTATTGCAGTCGGGGACACTCTATGAGGCCATCTGCGATGGGTGCCCGGTTGAATGCGAAGGGTGCTCCTTCGAGGAACCGCAGCTGGTACCGAAATGCTCCGACGCTTTGGAGCACTCCAACAGCTCCGGCGGCACCGTCACTCTCGATGCACTCGTGATCGAGCCGGGGTACTGGCGAGCCACCCCATCCAGCGAAAACGTCCTGGAGTGCTACAACGCAGATGCGTGCCTCGGAGGTGTGACGGGATCTGAAAGCTACTGCCTTGAAGGTTACGAAGGGCCATGTGAGTTTTTTCTACCATTTGAACTGTGCGCGTATGTCCAAGGCTCCCTGGAGGCTTGTCTCAATGGGTTCTCGCGAGGGACTTGGCGTTGCTGGAACGGTGCAGTAGTGTACCCGGTCATGCCAACCACTGGTTGCTGAAATGTGCCCGGGCGTGTACAGGCCACGCGGCGTCTACTGTAGGTGCATAAAATACCACACCTCCGGGGGCGATTTTCACAACTCTTGCAGAACAGCTCGTGCATGGCGGTGTATGAAATGTCTCGTCGAGAGCATCAGGACAACGCATTATTTTTTTTGCGTCCGCGTTTCATCGTGGAGAATCGAGCTTTGAACCTCGGTCCAGGGGTTGTGGTATCTTATGCAACCTACGGGACTCCACACTCGAGGCGTGCTCTGGAGAATTTCCGAATTTTCCGTACCTCGAACTGTGATCTATTAGCACACCATAGAGTTCCAATAGCCAAACATTCTTTCATTAATATGGAACCTTGCAGTTAGTTCGTGCGAACGGGCGTCATCTCTACAATTCACCTTGAATGGAACACGAGCGTGCCCTTCCCTTCCCCACGGTTTCATTCCGTAGCGCCCACGTATTTGTGTGCTTGAAAAATGCGCCTTTCCTCACCTCTTAGTGCCCGGTCAGCCTACCCCCAAGGAGTTTACTCCAACGCGCCGGAGGAAACATAGAGGAGGGTGGGCACGGTAACGGTATATCCGGGCGTCGTTGTCTCTCTTACTTGTTGTTGGTTGAGCCGATTTCCCCTCCACCATCGATGGACATAGCCTACAATCAGCGACCCGCAGCACTTCCATGTGGGGGGTGTCTACCCCATCATCGACGGCACGTCTGGTTCGTCTCTGTTCTGTTCAAGATGTTGACCAACGGCCGATGTTGCGAAACCCCACCACTTGTTTGTCGATTCAGCGCAGTAGTCGAAAACGTGTTGGTAAAGAGTGAACGGTCTGCGAGCCTACTTTCGTTTTTCGTTGGGGGTGATTGCTACCAAGGACACACCGCAGCACCCACCGCTGTCGAAGCCCGAACAAAGCCCATGCTTCCCCACCTCCTACCGGCCGCTTGTATCAGATTGTGCCGTTTGCAGCGGCGGGTATACGGCCCGGCTGGGCATGGCATGCAGCAAATGTTCCGACCGCGCGGGCAGCATTGCTCTCGGCGTCTCCGTCTCTGTCGCCGGCCTGTTGTTCACCGTCGCGTTGGTCTCGTACGCCGTCTCGGGGGAAAGCGAAGGCAGGGCGCGAGGGGTGGTCGAGCGCACCGGGCGTTTCGTTCCGCTTCAGTCCGTCAAAATCGTCATCGTGGCGTGGCAGATCTTGACACAGGTGAGAGGCCTGGGACGCGCCTCGAGTGCCCTTGATTCGTTGCGTGGTAGACCATGCGCAGCTAATTGTATCGGTCTTCTTCTCTCCTGGACGTGAGCGGGTGGTTGCATGCTGCGGCTATGCCGCGATAGTGCGGCGGACCTCAGGCACGTTGTATCTGGGAACGGTGCGGGTCGTCTCATCAAGATTCACGCGGAGGTGCTTATGCCATAAGAATTATGACGTTTTTCTGCATGGACAGCAAGTATTTCTGCGGCTGGGGATTCGCGCAGGCGGCACAGGTGCAAGTGGAGAAGTTGAATCACCGGGTTGTTCAGCAGTGCTGCCTTTATTTGCCGTGGTTGTTTGTGAACGTGACGCTACTAGACGTATAGCCTTGATTTCGTCGGTGAACATGCCCTCCATCCGTTTGTGGCGCAAGCACGCATGACGGATCCAACACTTTTCCACTGTTTGTCTCGACCCTATCGCCCGCTCGCCCAGTTCACTTCCGTGGCGAACATCAGATTCCCGCACGTGTACCAGCGCTTTCTCGATGCCCTTGAGCTGTTCAACTTCGACCTAGGCTGGGTACTCTCCGCCGGTTGCGTCTTCGACGTCGATTTCCACGACAGGCTGTTGGTTTCGACGATCGCGCCTATCGTGGGCTTGCTTTTTTTGGCCGCGGTTTATGCCGCGGCGGCCCGGAATAGTCACCGGTCGTCCGAGGACCTGCAACGCGTCTGGCACAAACACGTGTCGCTGGTGCTCCTGCTGACCTTCTTGGTGTATGCAAGCGTGAGCGCTGTTCTGTTTCAAACCTTCGCGTGCGAGGAGCTGGACGACCGCAAGAACTACTTGCGGGCAGACTACCGAATAGAGTGCGACTCCCCAAAGCACAGCGCGTTCCAGGTGTACGCCGGCTTCATGATCGTGCTGTACACTGTGGGCATCCCAGCTCTCTACGGCGGTTTCTTGTTTAGGGATAGCGATGTGTTGAGGCGTGATGAGGCCGACCGAGAACAACTTGCGCGGATAGCGCCAACCGCGGATCTATGGAAGCCGTACAGGCCATCGGTGTTTTACTACGAGGTGATCGAGTGCGCACGGCGAGTTCTGCTTGCCGGCGTCGTGGTGTTTATTTATCCCAACACAGCCGCGCAGATTGCAGTGGCGCTCCTGATCGCGGTAGTCTTCGCGATGATTTCGGAAGCCTTAGCTCCGTATGCGTCGAGATGGGACACCTGGCTTTGTCGCATGGGTCATGCGGTTGTAGCTGTGAGCATGTACGTTGCCCTTCTGCTGAAGGTGGATGTGTCGGACGAGCGGGCCAGCAGCCAGAGGGTGTTTGAGTCCCTCCTTGTCGCGGCCCACGTTTGCATGGTGGGGGTGGTACTGCTCGAGGTGATCATGGAGGCGATTTCGCTGTGGGTTGAAAAGCGAGGACAGCAGCCGGCGTCCTCGAGCTTCCGCCGCGGTCGAGGCATTTTTCGCCTCAGAGGAAGCGTATCTATGTTCACAGAGGCAGATGACGACCCTTTTTCCGGCAGTATTTACGAGGTGGAGCGACAGCAATCCGAAGACCGACGGCGATTCCGTAGGAGTTCATCCTCGTCATCAGCATTCAGGAAGAAGAAAGTCAAAATTGCTACTGAAGGAAGTCTGTCTCCTGGAAGCGTCGATGCGACGGAAACCCCTTCCGTCTTGTTTTGAAACGCGTCCCTCTTTCGATTTATTGTTGTTCATTTGGTTGATATTTTCAGCTCTCTCGGGATCGACCGCCTGTTCGGCCCTCGTTGTGCCGTACTGTTCGATAGAGACGTTAACTTCAACGTGTGGCTTACATTGTGCGAAAGTATTGAACTTTCAAGTGTAGTCGCCCACCACCTTTAGTACGTGGAGGGTTGCGTCGTTTCGTCTGTTGATGTCTCCGTGCATCAGTTTGGGGGGGAGACATTGAGTTCGTACACCTGCCTGTTGTCGGCAGCTCCACATTCCTAGCGTTTGCTTGGGTTTTGGTTAGACTTAAGTTTTTAGTTTGCTATGGTTGCGTCGTTCGCCTGATTCTGTCTCCTTGCTTCAGTCTCAAACAGCCCATACACGTCCCATATTTCTGGCAGCTTACACCCTGCGTTGCTTTGGTTTTTGTTATTTCAAGTTTCGGTTTGCTGGTTTTCGTTATTTCAAGTTATTATTTTGCTAGTTTTCGTTATTTCAAGTTGTGGTTTGCTGTTGTAGGTTGCGGACGGAAATGAAGAGCCGTAGGAGGATGCGGATGGGAAAAACGACCCCCGGTGAACCACTCAAATCCGGGTCTGTATTCGTTACTGAGGTGACGGCCTATTTCATTCAGTTCGGATGTAATATTCCTCGTTTTCTGTCAGAACTTGGACTAACTCTGTTACATCCTTTGTCACAGGATGCGAACGGGCTGTGTTTTCTTATAGGCTGCCTTACCTCGTGCGCATGGGATGCTTTTTTGTCGAGTTGTCATGGTCTAGAGTGTGTTGTCGTCGCTTTCCGTCAGACCTCAGATCACCTCTGTTATCTCAGTTACAGCATGCGAGCGGGCTGTGTTTTCCTACGGGCTGCCCTACCTCGCGCGGTATGCTTTTTGTCTACCAGTAGATGTCGTGGTCTACTTTGATGAATTGTTTTCGTGTTGGTTTGTTTACAATAGTTGGGATTGTTCTTCACAGTCATTCACAAAATTTGTCAATTTCATGGAATATTCCATGGAACCCCACGTAGTGCCATGGAACGTGCGATGGAACTCCATGGGGCTCCGTGGAATATTCCATGGAGCTCCATGGCATCCATGAACTCCTCCATGGCATCCACGGAATCCATGGGAGTTTCCATGGAATGTTCTACGGGAATTGCCATGCCATTCCGTGTAAAATTTCCATGGTTTCCGTGGCAAAAAATTGGGTCGAGTGGAATCTCGTGCAGCAACAAGCTCGATGTACAAAAATTAATACACATAACCGCGAATCCCTATTAGTTGAGCAATCGTTCCTACTCCAAACATGCTACAGATTGGACGGGTGTGGGGCACTTGAACGGGATTTGGCCTATGGTGGGTGTGGGGGCACCTCGAGTTTAGTTTCGTTGCGTGCGTGCAGGGATCTTCAGAGTATCATAATGCCCGCTGGGACTGGTACCGGCACGCGAGAGTTGTGAATATTGTAGTGTTGCCGGCCCCAGTATAGATTGGTGTGCAGCTACAGGTCAGGGGCCGCCTCAAAGTGAGGTAGGTGGAGATGGTGGTGAAGGGAAAGTCGAAAGGGGGAAGGAGTGGCATTTACGCATAGCATGTGCGCACGGAGGTATATCCTGTAGTGCCTTACGGAGGGTAGCTGATTGCAGAAAGAGCTGTGTTGATGCGGGCGCAATTATGGAGCAAGTACCAAGGCCCCCAAGTTGGGCGTGTGTGGGGGGGGGGTGCTCACCAGCTAGAGAGTGTTGGCTTTGACATGGGGGTTCTTCTTTCGTCGCTCATTTCCGGCTTCGTATCCGATTAATTAAGGATCGAACTGGGACAAGGGAGCGAGGGTGAGATTGAGAGAATCTGCTTTCGCCAGGCAAACATGTAAATTCTGCCGCCGCAAGTCTCGGTAACAACAACGCAGGACAGGAACACTACTCAATCATGTGCAGAGTTAGCTGCCGGAAACGGTGGAAAAACGACCAAGGCTCACTCCCCGCTCGATCGCCTACTAAACGATGGAAGACTGGCCACGCATGTTGCCGAAGCTACCACAGCAGTGCGCCTCCAAAATATGGATTAACATTCGTAACAAATGATATCTCGCCCGCCGCGAGGACCGGCCTTGCACTTCACACCCACCCCGTTCGCAACGCCAAGGACCAAAATACAACTACAACTGGTACGTAAAAATGCCTGGAAATCCAGACAACCTGGACACGAGGACTACCAAGTATTGTCACGACTGTTTATAGTGACGAACGACGTTTCATACACAACATCAAGCTTCTTCAATTCCCCACTTCGACTTAAAAGGGTTGACTGAACTTCCAACAGCACAAACACAAGGACTGCGACAAAAGCCACCCGTCATCGCAGAAGGACCCCCTGGTCCCCCGTCTCTCCCGAAATAAATTAACCTACACCATCGATTTTGACTGATGAAACGGCGTGGTTGTGCATGACGCAAACTGTCCATAGTTGAGCGCATATCGACGCACCCGGGGATAACCATCTACACAACCGTGTACATCGACGTTGTGCTGCGCCTCAAAACTCGCGGGTGTTGATGTATCGGGGTTTTAAAATGTGTCACCTACAACGAACTATGTCTAGCACACCGACAAAAACAAAAAAACGGCTGCGGAGTTTCTCTCCGTGTTTTGAAATTGGACATATGCCATACATAGCAATAGCAACGAACGTCCCCGCCCACGTAGGCGGGGTTCGGTACTCTTGGAATCAAAGCAACAACCACCGTGTCACATATATCACTGTACAGAGACCAGAGCGTTCCTAGCGTGTCAGTAAGCACGCTCTCCCGTGGGACGGCTGCGGTACAGCAGGGCGAAGAATGCCAGGATCCTGAATCCCACCATGAGGGCCACCTGCGGAAGTTGGTGGTGGTGCAACATTGGGATAGGGGAGAGGACAGGCAAGAGGTGGCGTTCAGTACGCAAACCAAAGCAAAAGTCGTTAAATCTACTTTTCCTTGACGTGTGCAGGGCGTACGAACCTCAAAAACCTGGCCAGTGTGCTACTCCGCTTTGGCGACCGCCACACACTCCCGTAGACGCAAAAAACAGACCACCAAAGTCAGAAACACCTCGCCCAACACAAGAACGCCCACCACAGTCTCTGTTGTGCTCCCTACACAGTGCACTCTTCAGCATCCCTACATCTCGCTACACAAAAAAGAGGGCGCCTCACCAAATACACGAAGTTCAGCCACAGCTCTCTGTTCCCGCCCTCGAACTCGAGATAGTCCAGCACATCCTGCCCCGTGGGGAAGACGCATGGCTCGGGCTCCGGTGGACAATCGAGCGACTCCTTCGACTCCCAGATGACGATCGAGATGGCCTTGTAGCCTGTATTGCACGCGACGCACGCAGCGGCAGGGAGAGCGCTCGTGAAAAAAACGTGCAAAACACATGGTGTGACGGTTGTTCTAGCCTGTGGCTGGAACGGAGTGGTACGCCACACAAGGTATATTTTGATCGAACTGCCTTTGGAAAGGAGGGAGGGTAGCAAATTCGCAAAGCGACTCCAAAAGAGCAAATTGCCGGCAAGCTCTTGGAAAGAGGTGTCCAGGGTTAGTGACCAACTGTTGTCGAAGAACCGTCAGGGCTTGGTTTGCATCTTCGGCCACCAAAGTTGAGCGGGAGGGGACGAAGCAAAGAGGAACAAGCCGTCGCTTTCTTACGTACCATATTGGATGAACGAGAAGATGGAACACCACACCAAGACGGGAATCTCACGTACCGTATTGGATGAAAGAGAAGATGGAATACCACATGAAGTAGACGGGAATCTCGCTGAGATTGATCAGCAGCCCACCGAAGATGATGAAGGGCATCAGGATCTGCAAGAAGCAGCGTGGGTGGTGCTGAAATAAGTTCGCCGTGGATTGCGGATGCGTTGCATCCGGCGATACAAGACGATTGGTAGAACCACGATGGGTTGCGCGTGGGACCATTTTGATTTGTGTTCGCGGCCGTCAGCTCCCTCAACAGAGATAGATGGCCAAACAAAGAGAGAGCAGCAGCCGTAAACTCCGAGTTGTTATGATCGGCGTGTAGAGCCCGTGACGTTAAAAAGTGAGCCGACTTCCCCCACCGGCGGTGAACGTATCGACTGTGGATACAACTCTTTGCACAATGTTTTAGAACTGACAACGGCGTCTTCAACAACCATCTGATCGACATGTCATCCAGGAAAATCGCGGTCTAAAAGAAGTCAACGCCGGTCGATGGACGACTCGACACCGTTTCCACGCATATCCAAATGGGGTGATGTACAATAGTGGATTTCATCACACGTGCTGATCTTCATCGATGGTTGATGGCGCCATGGTCAGGTAGTCCATCGAGTCACGAGCATCGACGCGGAACCTCAAGAGCCCCAAGATAATTACAATTTCGTGCGGCTGTGTTTGACAACGAAAAATCATCTGTTGGCAAATTCCTCAATAAGAGCGTCCGACGCAACGCAAAACTGCCAACAACGGAGAAGGGTCGGCGACTTTTTGCGTCTTCCCTGAAAACCAAATTTCAACAAAAAATGAAGAGGAAAAAATGACATATTGTCTGCGGTTGGCTCTTCCGATTTTCAGGTGCCACCCGATGACGTTTTCAGCCTCGACCTGGTGACAAGACATGGATCGTGCCATGTGGAAATCGTCCCACCGAGGCTCGTCCTTGCACTCTCAACCAAGCGCCATCAGTACCGACGATCAATCCACGATATTCCCGTGTAGCTTGCTCTTCGCGTTCATGACAAGAAAGCCAACCTCACCTGTGGCCACTGGATTCGAGGGCGATCGCGCTACATAATAGCTCAATATTGGGCACCAAGACAAAAGTCATGCCCCAGAAGCGAAGAGCGAATAGGATGCTGCAGGTGCACCGTGTGCAGTTTGCTCACCATCGGTCCCACGGCGAGGGCGACGTCTACACTCTTCGCGAAGGCAGACACCACATACCTGCAACATTTTGGAGACCCCCGAGATATTTGACGCATCCATACGCAGCGGAATTGAAACACGAATGAACGGCGAGATGAGAGGAAGCTGCGACGGATTTTGCAGATCCCGAGACAATCGACGACGCATCCAAACGCGACCGAATGACCACAAATACCGCGCGTGAAAGGTGAGAAAACAGGAAGAGTACCCAAGGCCGGACGCGATGGGCAGACAAGAATGCCGTCACAACCAATCACGATTTCTATGAAACAGCTGCGCCCAACACAGGAACAATGTAGCATCTGAAGATGGAAGGGACTGCCCCTGCTCAACTGTTCATATTCGACCGGCAGTGGGTAGAAAGGGATGACCCATGTGCAGCAAAAGAACAGAAGAAAACAGTGAATGTGACAAACATGCAATGGGAGCACAAAGAAACACGCAGCACTAGGAAAATAAATTGACACAGTGAAAAGAGCGTTATCCCCATGGACTCAACAAATATGGGGTTGTCCGAAGAATCGAACCCAACACCGTCATAACTACCGTCCCCTGGGGTAACGGCAGCACACCGCTAGACTTCATGAAGTCTCGCACCAAACCTTCATCGTTCGGCTTGAGATAAGACTCACAACCGGACGCCGAACAGACTCTCTGTGTCCATCACTTCCAAGGTGTCACACCAACGATTCATGTGGCCACCTCCAGGATTTATCAGAGACCACGGTTCGATTCCTTCACAGCCCACCCGAGATGAAACCACAGCTACCCCAACACGACACACGGTTCATCTCCACCCGACATATCCACATCGTAACTGCATTGGCCTGGTTTACAACGCAGAAGTTCTAGCACGTGAAAAGCCGGGGGAATGAATGCGAATATGGCACGAGAGTCGGCGGCAGAAGGCCTCACCCAAGGGATATTGCCGAGTTGGACGTCAGCACGATGTACACGATGAAGAGCAGGAAAGGCTTGGCCTCCAGCGGGAACCCGCACAGAAGATAGATGATCACCGAGAACACTGTGGGGAAAACCACCTGGATCGGGATCTCTGCCTGCGAGTTCAGATGGGAAGTTGATCAGAACGGTCGCCAACATTGAGACGACAAAATCGTAACGACGAACAACACCCCGCTTTATCCCATATCTACTTCAGCCTCGCTGGGAAAGTGTGGATGCAGCTCTCATCCACACTGCGCGATCTTCATAATTCAAACTCAGCTATTGTTCACCCCCTCATTCGCTACCTTAGCCCACGCCCCACCAAAAGTTAGTCTTCCCGGGTCAACCAAAACCACACTCGGTCATATCAACGGCCATCGACCGACTGCAAAACCATGTAAGTGCTGTCCCCGCTTCCAAAGTTTCATGCGTGCTCACCAGGGTTCGGCCGAAAAAGTACGAGCTCACGCGGTACGCTCCGCTGTCATGTTCCCGCAGGAAGACGGGCATTTCGTTCGGGAAAACCTGAAAACCAAGAAAAGGCAACGCATTGAAGCAGAGGATTACACAAATATGTTCGACGTTCTAACAAATACGACCAGCGCGGCGTAATGCTGAGGGAAGTGTCCTGGTCGGCCAGCCGCGATTGAGAAGCAGGTTCAAATCTACCGCCAACACAGAAGCTCGTTCCGAACAGCGAGCGCTCCAATCATCGTTTCACTTGAACGCGTTCTGAGTGAGCCTACACAAGAACTTTCCAAGTGCGGCACGACTATGAAACCGTAGGGACTCGCAGGGCCTACACTACTGCCGTGAAGACCGTAACACAGCCTGCAAGCACTGCTCACGTGGAGTGAGATCGCGCGAAAGAGCTGAACATGAAACCGAGTGACCCAAACTTCCTTCCAAGCCACGAACTGACAACATCTCGAACAATTCACCTCGGGTGTCGTACTGGTGACTTCTCTTGTCGCCCATCACACCGAACCAACACAACATAACACGATGTCGTCACATAGATGTGGAAAGACTCTTGCTTAAGTGTATACGGTGCATGGACATTAGTTTCTCATGGTCTTTGACGGCTGCGCGCGTAGTACACACGGTGGGGTGAAAACCACCGGCGCCGATACTATCGCAACAAAGAAAGTTTGTCAATTAAGTATACAATAGCCGTCATCGTGTGAATCGCAACACCTTGAAAGCATTCCCATGTTGAAAGTAACACCGCATCAACAGCTCTACCGTGATAGGAATGGCGTGGGAAAACCCCCCCCGGAAGCAACGCGAAACGGGTGGAGTGAAATCATTCCCAAGCACCGGTGAAAGAGGACCACCAACCCTAGAGGCACCGCCCGCATGCTGTGTGAAATCGACGCAATCAATCGTGAAAATCCACGTTCGTGCCGTTGGCCGTTACCATGATCCGGCACACCGACCGGAGAGTAACAATCCCAACAGATGGACGTCGTTGCACGACCCCTAGACCGGCTTTCATGCCCGATAGCTAGGCTGCCTATGCCGGAAAGGGTGGCCTTGGAGACAGCTGGCCAATACCTTTCTTTTCACTTGCTGCCGGTCGATCTCCGCACCCTCTTTTTTGTTCATTGAAGCGTGAGCCATGACCCACGCTTTCCCTGCCGTGTTACACGCACAGTTCGATGGTGTCCCGACTCCAATTGTACACGCCGAAGCTGTGAATCTGTGCAGTGCCGTACCTGAAGCACCCCGATGGTGCCGAGGATGCCCTGGTTGATGGCCACGAAGAAGAGAACTCCCATTGTGCTTTGGACGTCCCTCTGCATGTGCAATATAAGACAAGAGCCGAAAGTTAGGCAGTTGAGGGTGCTTCGCGAGAGTGCGCCCGCTCTACTCAACACCGACAGCAGTCGCGGAAGCAGCACCTGTCGCACGACTCAAAATGGGTGCCCATGAGTGAAATATTGGGGGGGGTCGACATCAAGAACTCTTCGTTGTTGGTTTCGGGGAGGGGGGCACAGTCGAATGCTTATGATCTAGGCATGCACCAGAGTCCAGAGATTGAGGCGGACAATGTCGATCTCAGACTGGCACAATTATAGAATGCACGTGCATGCCGCGTATGCTGCAGCTGAGGGAAGAACAGAATATTGTTCGGAGGGCGTCTGCAATGAAAGTACGCACTACCTGCCACTTCGAGCCAACTTCTACACAGGCCCACGCGCCCGCCTGCATCGACATAGAAGCAGCGGAAAACATCGGCAAATTCGGGTAAAGGGCGGATTTTCCACGTTGATGCGAGCGCATGAGGTGAAGGCACCACGGACGGTCACTGCAAGCGATGCCTGAACCTTGTCTAGAGCCCCGCGAGAGACTTGGGTAAGGGTGGTACCGACACCCGTCAAAGACGCCGGGTGAGTGTATTCCGACCACGAAGAGGATATGTACGAGGCGGGTGAGCTCCAGAGGGAAAAGATAAACAATTAAAGGGCACCTGGATTGTCATACTCCATGCACCGTTCTCAGCCATTTCGAAGGCCACTAAAAGCTGCAGCAGAATAAAAATAGTGTCAAGAATAGCATGCCGGTGCGGCAGTCACGCACCGTTTCCACCGCAGACACTGGTACTTTCAACCTGCTAGAGCTGGAGCTGTTGGAACTCACATCAGAGCGGCGCCACTGTGTCACGCACAATTCAGGGCACAAGGTCTCCCCCCTCATCAAAAGCAATACGACAAACAGCACAAGCGACGGCAAACAGCGCACGCGTACAGTGGTACCTGTGAGTTACCAAGCTGAAGGAAGATCAAACCCACGAGGACAGCCACAACAACGGTCTGGCCCAGTCGCGCCTTGGTCAGCACCGGCTCTCTCCGGTACATGATGATAGTCCGCTTGTACACCTCCACGGCCTGAAACGGAACCGTATGGGATTGACGACACAGAAATCAGAATGTACAAAACACATGGCACCGATTGGAAAAAACGAGGAGTTTGAACAGTCGAGAGGTTGATGAGCCGCACTTACTGGATTCCCGTAATAAAGCCGCGCGATGGTAGAACCAACATGAGTAGCTTACATGCACACAGCCCCCTTATCAACCACCATGAACATCACTCCGCCAAGGTCGTCGGGTGTCCTCACCTGCCTCCACCAGGTGGCCTGGTAGACCTTGTGGCTGGCCGGTTTGACGACAGCTGCTCTTGCGGACGTGGCCCCATCGTCCTCGCGATCGCCAGACTTGACCTCTTGCCGCGCAGCGGTCACCACTGCTGTGGGCAGGTTCGCTTCTGTCTGCAAAGATGTGGGAGAGACACGCGCGCACACGTCAGGAAGCGACACATGGAAAAACGTCATATGATTGAACGTTTGGGCAGCAAAGCGGGTTCGAACAAGTCCCCAAGCGGAGGAGAAAGAAAAGCAATTTTGGAAAATTACAACAATCACAAGGAGACAGAAACACATTCCGCTTCACGCACGATGTGGTACGCGACAGGTATGCCCTTTGACAAGAGCTGGGAAAATTTGGGCTCCGTGACCACCACCAGTGCACGGCATCAATGTGCTATAACTGGTGCTCAAGCGCCCTGGCCTGTGAATGAAAAAGTGAGACCCATTGTTAGCTCGTATCTCAACTTTCAACTTCCAATGCGGTACAGAAGAAAGGTTTGCTTGGTGCCACATTCTCTAGCTCCTGCTTCAGCATGGAGGGATGCGATGGGAACGGGATTCCGACAAAAACACGAATTCTCAAGGCATGCGCCACCAAATGGATTTTCCAAAATACCACTCGTGTTTCCAAGCTGCGGTCAACCTCGATTCCTCCTCGGTGCTCAGAAACACAGATCTACGAGATCTACGAAGCGTTACACCACCAACAACAATTACAACCACAACCACCGCACCAACACCAACTACAAAGAAGACAGACCTGAGTGTAGGCGGCAGACTGTCGGTAGCCGTCCGCAGCCGCGGTGATGCGCCGCTCAGACTCGTCAAAGGATGACGGGTCCCTGGCAGGACAGCACGCGGAACGACGAAAGGCGCGAGGAAACACCAATCACTGGCGGCACACTTGAGAACCTAACCACAGGCCCGTATCCTCGACACGGTAACACCACACACGCACACGCACAACAACGATCGCGTGTGTATTTGTCACGCGAATCGTGCTGGTAACTAAACTGTTTGGGTCATAGTTGCATTCGTGTCTTGCGAGCGCGTCCTTCGAAAACAAGTCCAGGCAAAAAAAAAACATCAGAACGCTTTTACCCGCAAAATACATCGCAACATAAGGTTATTTCAGTTCTGCTGGTGAGCTAAGCTCGCGTGTTCGCCGTGAACTACTGTATCTCGCAGAATCATTTTCACGTATGCACGCACACACCCACCTGCTCATGACCTTGATGTAGTGGTCCGCCGGGTTGTAGAAGTTGGGGCAGGGGTGCCCGATGGCCTCGAAGTGCGCATTCGCTCGGTCCAACGGCCCGCAATAGATAGTCTTGCCCTCGGCCAACAGGTGCAGATGGCTGAACAGGCTGAATACCTGCGTGTTGTTGGGCCGAGCGGAGGGAGTGCTCGTGGCAATGTGTGCCCTAGTCGACCGCACAGTTCTGCTGGAACGTCGCCACCCAAGCAAGCTCGGAGCATTAGACTTGGCCGCGATAACAGGTGCTCAGTTTTTAGATCTCGTACAAAGACCTATAGAGTACATGCTGGGTTATCCCACAAGAGGCAAAGAGAAACGAGCCTCCGGCAAAAGAAGAGGCTCTTAATTTGTGCCGCGTTCCTACGCCTCATACCTCATCGTCAAGATGTAGCACGTCCATCGTGCCTCGCCGGCCAAGTTCAATAACCTACCCTTACGCTTCCAATGTTGCTGGTTCAGTTTGACACAAAACGAGAAGAGCATCGTCCCGTCGCTGCAACCAACGACCGTCAGCAGTACAATGGTGCCACACGTATTTCTGATTTTGTGGTCGTTTCGCTCATTATTTATTCGGTCCACCCAAGGCATGTTTGCCGACATACGGGTGGCATACAAAAGCGAGACCACGTCAACACAGCCTACCTCTCGTCCTCCGCAGACGTGGGTCTTGTACCCACTTCCGTGGACAACAGACTAGAGACACCACCGGTTTTAGAGATTGTGATGTTGAAATACAGCCAAACCGTCTGAGCGGGCTTTGCAATGGCATGGCATTGCCGCCCCCGCATGTGCCCGTCTAAAAAACGGTACCGAGGTAAACTTACTCACAACTCGTGCGGTCACAAGCTATAACCCAAAACATTGGTTGCACAACGTTGGTTGTACAGAACTAAAATGAAAAGACGTCATGATTGGGTTGCTCACGTGAGACGAGGGCTGGTGGATAGTAGCCACAATTGTCCGCCCGGACTCTGCAAGGGCCCTAAGCTTGGTCACAACCGCCTCGGCCATGAAGGAATCCAGCCCTTAGCGAACGGGAAAAAGAGCAACGTAGACATATATTATGTGGGGAAACCACACGATGGTGGATGTCTCATTGAAACCTTGGATGATGGAAGACATGGGCATAAAGTTCCGCGGGAAAATCCGGGTACACAAAACGCGAATCAGTAAGTTCGCACACTCTGCTTGATGGCTGGCATTCCCTCGCGATGAGTTGCCGGGTGAAGCAGACCAATCAGAGCGGGGGGATGTGGCCAGTGGCCCGCGGTGAGAGTCTCCGGCTGGCTACACCAAAGAGGCGTCATTGATGCCAGACGACCGTTGTCATCACCTCAGCAAAGGGAGCAGTACCGCACGAAAACACAAGGGATTTATCAAAAACAATAAGAGCTTGCTAAATTATAGCACTGAAGGGCATTGATACTGCCATCAATGACAACAGCAGCAGCAACCGAAACCGAAACATGGCAGCGGCAACAACGGTTGACGCACCCGATGTCGGCTCGTCGACAAAAATGACGGGAGCATCGCCGAGAACCTCCGTCGCGAAGGAAAGACGCTTCTTCTCGCCCCCGGAAATGCCGCGGATGGTGCTACCCTGCCCGCCAATAGGCGTATTGGCGCACTTGCCTGCAATGCAGTATGAAGGAGAAAACAGCGATGTTCGACGAGAGAAAAATGGGGGGAAGGGAGGTAATGGGAGTCGTGTGTCAACACGTTTACATGCGGGGTTGACGCAATTGTGTGCACCGGTTTTCGACCGAAACAAGAGGAGGCGTGGATAAACTCTTTGTTTACAACCTGCCAAGGTCAACAAGCCCTCCAAAAGGACGGTCGAACGTCATCTCCAAAACCGAAAAAGCCCGTCCCAACTCCGACACAATGTAAATGGTGTCGTCACACCCGATCCAACCCCTTCGAGCCGATAATCCAATGAAATCCGTGACCGCATCGCTGCAACACCCTCGTGTTCCAAACATACCGAGTCCTAGCCCTTCCAAAGCGGTCTCGACCGCCTGCATTTTTTGTTCGGGAGACAACGTCCTGCTCATTCTCATGTTCGCGTGGAAGCGGAGGTGCTCTCGCGGCGTCAGAGTCGGGATAAACAGGTCCTCCTGTGATGGGTCGAACGCATAGAGGGGGGGAAGGGGACGCGCGCCGCAGGCCGCTCGCGTGAATGGTTGAAACGTTTGTACTGGTCGCACAACAAACCCGCCGCTCTTCGTTGTTGTTTGTTGCGGTCGCTTTCATCAACGGAGGAGTTGCAGCGAAGAAACAGAGTATAGAAAATAGTAGTTTGAATGTTCCGTGCCGCCGATGCGTGTCTTTCGATGATATCGCGCGTAGTACTGTATCCGTAGATACGACCTTCCCGCCGATGTAGGTTTTGGCACCATTTCCCCACCATCATTGGGGAGTCCGATCAAAGCGAAACGGGTAGATGGCGTGCGAGAATAAACTCGCGTTTTGGTCCCACAAAGTGCTTTTCTGGAGCGTTGGAACCCTGTCGCCCCATATCCCGCGCAGAGAGCCAACACAGCAACAAAGCTCTGCCTCTCATTGCAGAACGAATGCCTCGCTACCAACGACCAAACAACGACGTGGGTGAGACCGGGACCCCCAACGGGCATGACAAAGGGTCGCGGCGATTGGGGAGCTGTCGAGGGTCACGACGGTCCACACGTACATCAGGCGAATGGTTCTTCAACCAGGACTCGTTTGTCAACCAGACAGCCTAGCATAACGTTTCCAAGTTCACACACCGTCTTTGCTTACACGCTCTTGCTCCTACTCATTTGGTGGAACTTAGCATTTTGCGATGCCGTAACCATATACCGCAAACAGGTGCCACGAACGTAAACTACACAACGATGGAGTATCGACCAACCTGCTGCACGAAGGCCGTCGTGATTCCCACCATGTCCATGTCGGGGGGCTTGCCGTTGTGTAGAACGGTGCCGCTGCGATGAAGGCAAAGGGAGGAAAACAAACACCGGACACAAAGGTCTCGCAGAACGCAACAAAGGCTTCGAGTAGACACGTGAGGGGATGGCGACTTGAAGGGGTGCCAATGCAGGGAAAATGAGATGATATCGCCCGAGACCAATCGACCAGTCCAGCCACACCAGCAACAGCAACACCGAAAGCAGAGACAGTCTGCCTGGTACAAACCGAGGGCGCTGTACACGAGACCACGCTGCTGTGAATGATGAGCCATGACCGGAAAATCGCTGGCGAAAAGCTTGTTGCGGCGGGTCAGCCGCGGTTGGGGTTTGTGTCATGAAACTCGAAGCATTGTTAGGAGTGGCCTTACCGCACCCTAGCAGACAATGATCAGGTCTACCCGACGGGAGAAAGAAGCAATCAAGAGCAACAGGAGAGAACCGCTTGCCTGTACGATTGATTTCTCAGGCTGAGACAGTTCAGCAGGCTTGTTTTTCCGGCTCCGGAGGGCCCCATGATAGCCAACATCTGCTCGAAACGGCAAAAATAGAGCCACGCACAAGATTCATCGTTCAAACCGTGTACGAGAACAGGGCCGATAGACCCACGTGAGGTAGGTATCACAATCAAGGGTTGAGCGAAAGCCGTGCGGTCAAACTCAAAGCGTTGCGGTCAACCAGAACTCTGAGTGGTGTAAGGGCACCTACGCTGCTTGAAAACAAACGCAGAATCCCATGCATATCAAAGCATATTTGAAGCACGGCGGATGGGCACGAAAAGAAGGCCTGCGCCGCGTCTTGAAGGCGAAAAAGTCCTCCCAAAGTGCAAGCAGCAATCGTATGTTCGAGCTCAAAATGCTAAAACTCAAAAACACGAAAAACGGCGATAAAACCCACCAGCCTGCAAGAGACTTGTCTCGCCATGGAACGAAAGAACCTCTAACAACAAACGCCCCACCACCACGAGTACAACAACGGCTGCATCGATGTTACTAATTGTTCCATGCCTGATCGCCACTGAGACAGCCCGACGAAAGGGTGCCCCGCACAAGAAGAGGAATGAGCACACACACACACACCTCCCCAGGAGCGACGGTCCCGCACGCGTCGTCCACAATTACTTTCCTCCGCGTGCCCCCCGTGGCCTTTCCCCGTGTCGGAGACGTCCTTGACCTCGACAGACAGGCTCACGCGGTACGACAGCGAGACGCTCCCGCCCGCCGAGAGCCCGGTTACCAGCGACGACGGCTGCGAATCTCCTGCCGCTGCCGCCCGAACGGCCTGGGACTCCTCGTCGGGAACCCACGGCCATCGCTGTCGCGGCGGCTTGCGCGGCGGTGGCTGTGTTGGGTGGCAGGTTGGGTGGAAGGTTGGGTTGCCCCCCGGATCGCGGCCTTGATGAGCGTGTGGTTCCCCGTCTGGCGCACGCCTGCAACCTCTCTTTTAGGAGGGTTCCGCCCGTGCCGCTCGTGCGTGCCCCGCGGGGGGGGGGGGGGGTAGTATTCAACACGACCGCACGCAGGTGTCGCTTCCCTGCGCAAGGTCGTGCATGGTTCGGGCCAGGGGGGGCGACGAAGAGAAATGGCAGAGGCGGGAGAATGTTGCGTTGTATCTTAACATCGCAATCAACGTCGCAATCAACGAAGCCAGTATATCGCAGAAGAAACAAGCCGCGAGGGATACCCAAAAGGAGAGATATTGTACGCTCTGAATAGGGCGGGTGCCCGCTACAGGGCGCGGTGAGTCGGCCTGGCAGTATTCCTGCCCTCCAAACGGACCCCGTCTGCCGTACCATACGATTGATTGAGCATAGTATGATCGCGACGCCCAGCGTTCCTAGGCGGAAAAACTTCGGGCTACGTACAGCACCAGCTACTGTTTTTTATACGCATCACGGAACCTAGTGTTGGTGTGGTGTGGTCATGCATACAATCGGGGGCAATGGTATGTTGACAATCTACGAAGATTGGTGGTACTTTTGTTGCCGCACCTGTTTCCCCGCCCAAGGTCAAACCCCGAACGGATCTAAGCAACCTACGCTTTGCGTCACGTGAGATCGGAGTAAGAGGTTTGGGCGTTCGCATAGAACCGGCTACCGCTGTACTGCTGTAGCACGAAAAGTTGGTTATTGGTGATGGTGGGTGTGAGCTTAGGCTGTACAGCCGGCGGGACAAACGACTTTTCTGGCCCGATTCTATTTCACCGCGACTTGTATCCATGCCACATTCGAGATAAGCATAATCCTGTTAAACGTGTTACGAAAAAGCATACGGGTGTCATTTTGATTATTATAGAGCAAGAACAGAGGTCGGCCCACCTCGGCAACAAGGTTGCCCAGCACAAGCAACACAAACGCGATGCTGAGCCCACGACTGCTGTAGAGTACAGAAGAATAAGTTTCAGCAAAACACACCGCAGTGGTGAGGAGTATCCGGGATTCTATAATACTGCTGTACTGCAAGTTGAGTCCCTCTTTGGTTCAGCAGTGCAAGCCGCCAGGAAGAACCCTCACGCCCCTAGGTCGATCGGAGGTGTCAGTTCGTATCACAGCCGTGATGGGCATTAGTTTACCGCAGTATTACTCCTGCACCCCCGCACAGCAGCGCTGCATTTCTGGGACGATTGACGGCAGTCCCGAGGCAGGCATCGTCGCTTCGAAGCCGCGCGGGGAAGCAAGCACGACGGCCTGGTCTGCAACAACCGGTACAGCAGTACTCGGATGACTCGGTGTCATACCTGCCGAGCGCAGATCCCTTGCTACCCCCGATCTAATCGACCTGGCGGTCTGTGCCGTACTGTACTTCGGTACACAGACAAGTTCGACACAACCCAACTTGCACAACCTATTGGTTGTTTGCTACGAACATGCGCTGCCCTCTCCTTGTGTTACAGCAGGAGTGACGCTTACTCTTGTCTGCTGGACACAGACTACAATTGCTAAAATATAACAACCAACTTCAAATTTTAGAGACAATGGTTGCGGTTCCGGCTTACTTTGCCACACGTGCCTCCTCCTTCCTCAAACCTCCGAAGAAGGAAACCCAGTTCAGTGCGCTTCAATGGTCAGTCCGATGTTGACCATGCTCCGATCCCAGCAACGTTGAGGCAGCAGCAGTGAGATAGGAGATGTTGATGCGATGCGGTGTGCAGCAGGTACAGAGAGAGGTCGTGTGCATATTACGCCGCCTTTTTTTTTTTTTTCTTAATATGACACCACGAAACCATCCCCATCATAGAAAAGAGTCTGAGACAGATTAGCAATGGATTCATAGCGTCAGAAAAGTACCTGTATGTCTACGATTTCCCAGACAGCATATAGGGACATCTCCCCTTTTGGGGGGGGGGGCAGATTTTTTTTTTACTTTATTCCACCTATCCATCTCTTTTTTTTTTACTATAAATGAGTGAACGTGGGTACGATAGTGCGATGAATTCATTCATAGAGTCAGTCAGCGGTTCCTTGAGTTACACCCAAGCGAACCCAAGCATTCTGTAGGTTTGCCAAGCTGTGACACGGCATCGACCGCGTCAAGTGTTAGAATAATGCGGACTAAGAAGGTCCTGGGTAGAGAGATCGGAACGGTTTTTTACTGTGAAGACAACAACACAACAACAGCAGCCCAAATAATTTACTTCTACAATTGTTAGGGGGAAAAAAAATGGGACTTCACAGACACGTACCACGTACTGCATCATGAACCAACGATGACGGGATTTTGTTGTAAGGGTCTTGCGCGGGGAAAGAGAGGATAGAGGAGTTGGGTTCCTCTGGATAGAGAAGACGCATGCTGCGTGAAAACGAAATAATACAGCAATCAATTCCAGTTTCACGTCTTCACACCTACTTGCCATCTTCACTGGCACGCGCCCTGGGTACGGAATACTTATGATATGGTGGCAAGCAAGCCCCGCTCACTTCCCTCAGCGGGAACACGGGCCCAACTCCCTCCCAGCTTGGACACGGGCCGCGCACCCCTGAACACACCGAGGGCTGCATAGAATTAGGCGATGCCATGCCTTTTCTGTCGGAGACCCGAGAATCCTGAACGCTCTCACAAGGGAAACAAAAAACGTGATGGTGCTGTCAAATAAAATACCTGAAATCTTTGTTGTGAAACACGAAAGCTTCTAGGCGTACTTCTAGGCGTACTCCAGACGACGATAACAGAAGTAGCACAACAAACAGTACAACGCGAGCTTGCAACTATCGACACTCAAAATGAATACGCATTGTTAGAGCTCTACACGAATCTATCTCAACTTGATGGTGGGCTCTACTACGCGTTCAATCCCCGAGGGATAGGCGCGTAGATGCGCAAAAAAGCAGTGCCACACGACCTGTCCGCTACAACAGAGAGAAAAAGAAGAGAGAACCACGGGCCACAACAAGCCGCCCTGGCGAAGGAAGGGAACAGAGCCAGAGCAAACGACAACAATAGAAAAGCGCCTCGTCGTTGTACGTGCATGGTTTCTCATGGCAACACCCGCCTCCGAAACTATTGGGAGAAAGTTGGTGTGGCATTCTTGAGTAGAGAAACCTCTTGACAAGAACCCCTCTCTACACTCTTCTATCGAACCCTCCTCCTGTTATTCAATCCTCATCAACACGCCGTCACAAAAGTGCCTAAGCTGAACTTTGCCGCCCCTGAAGTTTTCAGGCGGACAGCTTACACCCGTGAAGGGGGGAGCTACGTCTACATCATTGTTGTTCCGCCGTATCTCCCTCGACAGACCCTAATAATTTGTCGGTCATTACCAAACGTTCTGAGTCCTGTCCTTGGGTAGGCCATTTCCCCTAATAGTAAAAACATGTGATATAGTTGTCCGCCCCGGATCAATGCACGGCCTTTCGGTGGCCAAGGTGGTTGGTGGTCGGCGTGTTTCGGGTGGCCAAGGTGAAATAAAACACCCCTAACACGATACAATCGTGGTCCTGTGGTAGTTAGTCCACGCGCACAACGACAGCTCCCGTTGACAAGACTTGCGCTTGGTGCGTGGTGATGCTCTCTGCCGGGGTCTGGGACACGACCTTGGACACCAGCACCTGCGCCAGGCCCTTGGGCTGTTCGCCGGCGATCTCGCCTGGGAAAATATAAGAGCGGCGTTTACAGACAAAATCATCGCCAGGGGGCGTCGTGACGGCGACAAACCGGTGTGTTACAAGAGGCAAGGGGCGCGGGGGGGGGGGGGGGGGACCCCTTTAAACCCCTTCCCAAACCTTTGACCCTTTAATTTCCATCCCCAAAATGCCCGGAACGA